GAACTAGAGAAAGCTTAAATGCCATCTGGTTTGAATCTCTATTTTACTAGTGTTGTAGAAATAGAAAACTTTAGAATTGGAAGGCACCTAGAAATCACCTAGTCCTACTTTCTCATTCTTCAGTTGAATAAACAGATTCTGAAAGGATTAAATCATTTCCCAAAGTCATACAACTCAGTATCCAGGTTAATAAAAGAGCTCGTCTCCTAATGTCCAAGCCATTGTGGAAGCCTAGCAAAACAGTAAAGGACAAAGAGAGCCACAGAAAGAACACCTTTCCTTTAGATGACACACATTGTGATTTTAAAAAAAGAACCAGGAGGTTTAATTGTAAGAAAATCACCCCCAACTCTTTTTCTGGACAGACAGAAATAGGTAAGGATAGGATAATGATAATTCTCTCAAACTCCCAGCCCCTGCAAATAGTTTTTAGCATGCCCATAGTTAAGTGAAAAGGCAAAACCATCTTGCTCCATCTATAAATCAGTAAGGCTACACACAATGGTTTCCATGAAACAAAGTCTATACAAAGCAACCCTGAAAGCAGCGTATATTATAAAAGCATCTTGGTGTTCTCTCAATTTGTTTTATAAATTGTTCTGACTACACAGGTGACTGAGACTAAAAGCAGAGTTCCTGCAGCTGCTCATGATTCATGTACTAGGAAAGAAAGATAAAAGATCACTTCTCAGAGATTTATATCCTAATGCCTTACCCTCATCTACAAAAGGGGACATTAGGGTAACGGAGAAAAGTAAAAATAAAGGTCCCAAATGTATATAATGAAAAAAAAAAATGTCACTGCATGTTGCCTGGTGAAGACAGCAAAACACCCTGCAGAAATGAACGCATGCTGCACGCAGGGCTGGGATAGGAAGTTGACTGAGTCTCTTAGTCTAAAATAAGGCACCCTCAGCATCATACGAGGAGAGCTTAGAAAGCAAGGGTGTAAAATTAGGAACTGAATTAAGGATAAAGGCAGGATTTCCATTTGCTCTTTCTATTTTGTATTCTACTTTTTTTGTTCTTTTTTTACATTGGAAGAGAAATCTTAAACAACTTTAGTCTCTCATGATCACATTTCACCTTTGTTTTCCCACACCCGGGTTGATGTGTTAATTACCGAGGATAATCAGACACCACCCTATAACAGGAGGCACTAAATTGATGGATCCAAATTTAAGAAAACTTGTGCACTTTGCTCATTCAACATCATTTACTTGCCATAGCAAGTTTTTCTCTGGCTTGCAAAAGTTAGTGGTCAGGCAATTCTCTTCTCAAGGAACAACAAACTCAGACTATAACTACCTAAAGTCACTCTTCTGGGCTAGACATATATAAAGCCCTGCTTCAGTCTTTACAGCCGCCATCTGTGAATAATCATTTTAACCATTTTATAATCAACATACAGATTACAAAGCAGAAATCCAAGAAGTTGAACCATTTGCCTGAGGTCATTTATCTCCCAAGTGGTAAAACAGGAATTGGAATCCAAGTCTTCAGTGTCTAGAGCCTAAAATCCTTCCCTCAGCTATATTTTAGGTACTTCCCAGGTGTGGAAAGAGGACATTTGCAATGGGATTCCCACCCATGCAGCAAACCTCTAAAACTGGGAGCCACACTATTTGGGCCCACTTTGTTTTTTAATGTTATATAAGGGGGTGGTAAGAGTTCAATCATCTATCATTAAAGAACAACGATGACTCACAATTTGCTATCTTCAAATCTTATATCTTTAGACATAAATAAAATTTAGCAATTTTAATTGGTTTGGCACAGACTTTCAAATTTCCATATGGTTATTTTTCCTGTTTTATGTTAAATGTAATCGACTTAACACTTGAGTTTTAAAGTCTTGGCAGAATGTATCAATTAAAAGCTACATAAATTAGAACTACTCAAAGCACACATTCCAAATTGAGTGATCATAAGGACAAAATTTTAAGATGCTCTTTTCATAAATATGTTAATTTTTCCCTATAAACTTGTATCATCACCCACATTTAGACAAAAAAGGGATATTTTCTCTGACATAGTGAAAGCTAACATTTGATTTGCTTATTCCCGAGTGCCTCAGTGTGCCTGACATGGCCTTTTCTACATTGTTTGTGAGACAAAGCTTTCCTATTTTGTATTTCTAAAAATGACAGCAGTCTTGACAATGCCTAAAACTGTATGGAAACTAAAATGTAAACATAATATGGATAAATGTGGCACTGAGCCTATTAAGGTGACAGTACTTTTGAGCACATTTTCATTGGTGGTGCAAAATATGGCATCCCATACTTAATGTACCCCAGAGTATTATTTTAAAAAATGGCATTACTTTCAAGGAGATGGTCTTTCTGAGCCAGAGTCACTATTTCCTTTCAAAACTGTAAAATCTCACGATATGGATAAAATACAAAGAGAAATTTGAAAAACCCAAATCACATTTATTCCTGCAAACTTGTGATTGAGTTTATTGTCACAATGGCTCCTTATGACTATTGCCTGTGTAATTGTTTTCCAAATACTGAAGTCTATCACACGTGCTAAGTAAATGAAAGAATCATTCATCAACCCCAAGTGGTTGTTGATGGGATTTTCACTTACTTAGCTTGACTAAAAGGCTAACATGCCCACTGTCCCCATGATGGTTGGAGAGCTGCTGCACAATTCAAATTAAAGTTTTTTTAAAAATAGTATCATTCAATTTTGTTTGCATGAACTGAGTAATGACAGAGGACAGAACCAGTGGGCCTATCATGGAATTCTAGTTTTGATACTATGTTTATAAGCAACTATGTAAGCCATTAAATATTAATAGATCTTCCTCTCTGGCAAAGATAACATTAGATCAAAATCTTCCTTCTTAGTGTCCGATTTCCTTATGCTATTCTCTCTCTATGCAGAGTTGCATAGAAAATTTTTTCCAAATTTTAAATGAGAAGATTTGAGAATAATCCTTCATTACCATGGATTACTTTATTGATTTTGTGCTATCTCCAAGGTCTCCCTTTTCTTCAGTGACAGGAATGTGAAATTACTAGAAGCATCCTTAAAGAAAACCTTGAAGGTCATTAGATCCTAGGCAATGAATGCCTTCATTCAAAGAGAGCATGCCCTCCCGAGCCCTTTAACATGAGCAAGTCCCCCCAAAGGGGCTGCACTTTAACTTGGTCTGAACAGGTCACATTTCTAAAATACTTAGCTGTCTCAAATGTCTCTGGTCGGCAGCACTGAGTCACAATGCCACAGCTACAGTGTTTCAGGCTGGACTGACCTCTTTCTAGTTTTCAACGGAATTATTATTCCATGTAATCCTATTTACACAGCCATTTAATCAAAGCGAGAAAGGAGATTACAGAGCTTGCATTTGTTTTGCAAAGCAAGGGAGCAAGGATCATCAATCCTCCTGACTCTCAAAGTGACTTGATAGCACATCCCCGGCTTTGGAGTGTTGGACATTAACCCGATCTGTCTCCTGTTTTCTTGTTTAAATAGGCAGCTTTGGGCTCTTTTCCTGATCTAAAAGGCAGCGGCTTCTCCAGCCACATCTCACCACCGCCACCATTCATGCAAGCAGATGCTGCTCTAAAAAGGAACAGGTTCCCCACCCTTGTCTACTGTTCCCCAGATAAGAAAGCAAGTGCACTTCAAGCGATACATAAAACTTTTCTTTGTTGCAAGAATCTTAATATTTGCATTTCTCTAGCACAATGTAGTAATCCCAGGTGTGGCATCCTTGCCTAAAAACTGACCTGCTTGCAAGACAGGAGACAGGCACTCTCCTGTCCTTGCTTCTGTTCTGGAGACTGCAATAGGCAAAGTCCCTTATCTCTGCCCTTTTCCACAGCGGTGGAAAGGGCTTTACTCTTCTTTCTTAGTGTCCAAGCCTAGACACTCATTTAAAATATGCTAAGTGGGTCACTTAATAAAGGACTATCAGCACACGGATTCTTTCATTCTAAACCTTCACACACGCGCGCACACACACACACACACACACACCCAACACTTCTACCCCTTCCACATTTCGGGAATTGCAATCTCTGACAGAACCTCTTGTGGGGTGAAAGGGCAGCCTTCTCCACCCCAGGCAGACAGCAGAACAATTCCGAAAGGAAGGAGTGGGAAGAGGTGAGAACCGCCCGCCAGAGGTGAAAAGAATCATCGTGGATGGGAGCACCTTGGCGGCCGTTTCCAAAGGAGGAGCCCGATATTTGTTTCGAGGGTGGGGTGGGAGTGTCTCACTGTACCCCTAGGCAGCGCTTTAGCTGGTCCTTTATCTATAAAGCACAATTCAGCAACACTGGGTATTATCTCAACAACTATCATTCGAGGTGCCCATTAAAATTTTGAAAAAATAAAAATAACTTTTTTGTAATGGAAGAAGGTGCACGCACCGAGAAGGCGAGAAGGCGTTACTCCATCTGCAGCTCTCAGGAGGGCCCACCCAGAGCTCGGAGCCACAGCGTGCCAAGTTTTCCCGGGCAGGCCAGGCAAGTTCCCCGCCCGGAGAGCGCTGCCGCTGCCGAGGAGCAGCTCGGAGTTGGCTTCGCCCCCGCGGCTGCACCCGCGCCCCGCGCCCTGCGCCCCTCAAGTACACAGAGCGAGCGAGGTGGCCCGTAGGGAGCGGTTTCATAATCTCCCGGAATCCACGGGAAAACGTCGCTCGTGCAAAGACGAGCCTGCCCGGGGCAGCGCCAAATGCCAGGCCAAAAAGCCCACCCTGCCCTCGGATGGGAAATGCGGTTTCCGACTGACAGCGGCAAACTCAAAGGCGGAGGCTGCAAAGTTGACACCCGCTCGCTCTCCCGACTCCCACTCCGCCCCTCCGCGCTCGGCCGGCTGCGCGCTGCGGTCACCCACGCCCGCCTCCCCGCGCTCTCTTGGCTCACCCGGAGGGCGCACCCCTGCATGGCCCGGCTGCCGGTCCCGGGGCGCGCCGGCCTCCCCCGGGCTTCGGGCGCGGTTTTCTTTGAAAGCCTCGGAGCTCCCGGGCGTGCCCTACTCACTTGTGTCTTCTTCATAAGGAAAGGCAGCGCTGCGATCCAGCCCAGGCAGCGGTGTGGCGACTCCGTTTAGCTGTTCTGGAGCTCCAGCATACTGCACGGGCAGCGGCGGCAGATAGTCCGAGCATTGGGCAGCCAGAGCGCAGCGCCTCTCCCCGGCCCGTGCCTGCGGCGGCGGCGCTCCTGGTCCCGGCGCGAGGTGGCGAGTGAAGCCCGGGCCGCCGCGCCGCCTGAGCTTTTATAGCAGCGCCCGCCCGTCCGCCCGCCCGCCCGCTCCGGACACGCCTCCTTCCCTTCCGGAGCCCGGGAGGCCAGATGCGGGCAGGGGCCAGAGGGAGACCCGGGAGCGCGGTAGGAGCGCCGAGGACGCCCGCCCGCAAGGGGGATGGGTCCGGCCAACGCGTCGCCCGCGTGGGGCTCGGGGTGCGCACCCGCGAGAGGCCACGAGGTGCGGGGACGCCTGGGGCGAAGCTCAGCAACCTGCAGCCGCCGCTCCTTAAGCGCAGCGCGGGTCCTTGGCAGGGCTCACCTGGCTCCGCCCAGGGACGGGCGACACCGGGGCGCTGGAGCGGACCGGGCTTTGCCTTTCTGCTCTGCTCGGAAGCAGCGCGGGAGGGGAGTGCGCCGGTTCCGACCAGACCTCACCCAGCCTCGCCTTTGGGAGAAAAGAAAGTTTAATTAGGATCCACAGTTAGTGCATTGCTTTACCCTGTCTTTCTTTTTTTTCTACACAATTACTTTAGTGAATGAAGAATATTAAAGAGATTATTGACTCTCGGGGTCAAGAATTGCTAAGGGAGATAGTATTTTCAGAATGATTTACTGTTGTATCTTTAGAAATGAAAATTGAAAGAAAAAGGCTAGACTGCAACGTTCAGACCGTCTACGCAGCGGAGATTTGGAAAGCTCTACTTTTTTAGAGAAGTTTTGAAATCGGGAAGATAACGCAACAGTAATAATAGGTAGCACCATGATGCCGTGCGCCGATTTATTAGGCACCAGGCGCCATGCTAAGAACTGTACATAAACGATCTCATTAAATCTTTGCCACAAAAAAAAGAAAAAAAAATCTTTACCCCAGACCTATTGTATACATCCTTTTTTAAAAATTCCCATTTTACAGATGATGAATCACAACTGTAAAGGTTAATTGTCCCAAACAACCACACCTAGTAAGTGGCAGAGCCCTAATTTAAATCTAGAGCCTTGGTTGTACTTTTAAAAATACCTCAAATATCATACTGACTTTCTGAAACTCTTCAATAACTGGAGAACAGTAAAAACCTTTTTTCTTAATTTTATAAAGAAAATATTACTGACATTAACATCAATAATCTTAGGAGCAAACATGATACATACATTTAGGAATTAGTTATTTTCATGAGAGAGAAGGATTCTAAATTCCCCACATTCAGTACAGTTGCCTTTGTTTTAAAAGTGAATATGCCAGGGGAAGCGGAAAGGGAAGAAGGGAAAGGAAAAATTATGAGAAAGAAAAAAAAATGGAAACAAAGTCTATGTAAATAGGGAAAGCTCTTGGGGGTGAAGGGCACATAGGTAATGGGGAAAAATTAAGAACCAAGATACATCATGTTCAGGTACAAACACCCAATGATAAATGTAAATGTATTGTATACCTAAAATGTACCAATTAATTTATAAATAAATAAATAAATAAACAGATGGGCATTATCAAAAAAAAAGTGAATATGCCAAACTTTCAATCTAAAAGAAAAAAAACTAGGTAAATTTTGAAGCTCATTTTGTTAGTTTCTTATTGCTACTCTAACAACAACAATGACAACAAAAAAGAACCTATTAAATGGCTTAAACCAACACAAATTTATTGGAGGTCAAAAGTCCACAATGGCTTTCACTGGGCTAAAATCAAAGTGTTGGCAGGACTCTATTCCTTGCTCTCTGGGACAATTCATTTCCTTGCTCTTCCCATGTTCTAGAGACTGTGTCTGCATTCCTGGGCTCCAGGTAGGTGTCTTTATTTTCAAAGCCAGTAATGTCAAACTGAGTCCGCCCATCAAACCACTCTCACCTCTTCTGCTGCCCTATTCCACTTCTAAGGACTTTCATGATTACATTGGGCCTACCTGGAGAATCTAGGATAATCCCCTCATTTTAAGGTCAATTGTTTAACAACTTTAATTTCATTTATAGCCTGCATTTGCCCATGTCTTGGAATTGGTGTGTATCATAACATATTCACAAATTCCAGGGGTTAAGATGCAGATATCTTGGGGCACAAGGAGGGAGAGGGTTGTTACTCTCTCTACTGCGCTGACAGCAGACAAGTTCAGGAGAACAGAAGTGGAAGTATGGACTCAGTGTGCTGAGCTCCGTGGGAGCTCCCAGCTGGAAGATTATCTCCTCCTCCATAGTTACAAAAATAAATATTTGGAAAAAGGACCAAAAGAAAAGCTGAAACCATTAAATAATTGCTTTTACTTTCAATGGAAAAGCCGCTGCAAACCAATTTGAACAAAGGTGGAAAGAGGACAGAAAACAGCACTAAATATGACCACATTTGAAAAATCACCTAACTAATGGGTCCTTCCTGGTGATCCTAATCTTAACACAACCAGGCCTTGGGTATCATCTTGCTTTGCAGGAACCTGCCAAGCTGTTCCCTACATGTTATGCAAGAAGGAGCTATGTTCCTGAAACTTACTATTATGGTCTAGTGGAAAGGGAAATGATTTTGAGGAAGGCTGGTCCTACTTCAGATTCTACTGCAGCCTTAAGTCCTTATGTTAGGAGACTCTTAGGAAGGAGAGTTCTAATAAGTTGGGCTAGGTTTAAAGAAACCAGACAGTGGATCTATCAAATTCAGCTCATTCTTTTCATTCACAGGCTATATTCTTGCTATACAAGCACTGCTGATCTCCTTCCCTTTTTCCTGCTTTCAGTTATCTGTCTCCTCCTCCCCACCCAACTGCTTCGTGGGCTCTCGATACATTAATATCATCACTGACTTTCACTCTTTCTGTTGCTCTAACAAGGTCATAGAGACCGGATAATTTATGTGGAATAGAAGTTGATTTAGCTCATTGTTCTGGAGATATTAAGGGCATGGCTTTGTCACCTGCTTGGCATCTGGACAGGGCCTTCTGCCTGCATCATAAGATAGCATTTCTTTAAAGAGGTTTCATTATCTTTCTGTTTTTTAAAAATGCTACCCTAAACTGAAATTGCTATTGTCTTTTTAAAAATATTTATTTTTAGTACATTTTTGCAGTATATAATGATTACATTCACTGTTGAGAGTTGGCATATATATACATATCCAATCTTAATTAATTTCCATCCCCTTCCCTCTTTCCCCTTCCCTCTATCTCTTTGTCCTCTTCCCTTTTGTAAAAGAGCTGTCTTAGTGTTTCCTATTATCCATCTTTTATTTTGCTCCTTTATCTAGACTTTGGGTTTTTCACATGAGAAAAACCATACAATATTTAATTTCTTGTGTCTAACTTATTTCACTTAATATCACGGTCTCAAAGTGTGTCTATATTCCTCAAATGATGCAAGCACATCCTTCTTTATGACAAAATAGTACTCCACTGTGTATAAATACTATACTTTTTACCCATTCATTCATTGATAGGCATAAATATTATAGACATTATATCTTATAAGTTATCCTAATATAAACATAGGTATACATGTACCACTGTAATACACTGTCTTTAACACTTTCTAGAAAATATCTAGAAGGGAAGTAGCTGGATCAAATGGAATTTCAACTTTTAGTATTTGAAGAATCTCCATATTGATTCCCATAGTGGTTGTAATACATTATATTCTCACCAACAGAGTAGAAGGAATCTTTTTCTCCCACAGCCTCTCTAGTTATTATGATTTCTTGATGCTAGATGTTCAATATTTTTTCAAGAGTAAATAGAATCAAAATCTCAGTGTTGTTTTAGTTCACATTTCTGTAATACCCAGAGATGTTGACCATCTTTGTTCGTATTTATTGGCCACTTATACTTCTTCTGAGAAGTGTCTATTCATTTTTTGATTGGGTCTTTTTTTGAAGGGGGGTTAATTCTGAGTTCTTTATTCTACATACTAATCCTCTGTCTAAGGTGTAGATAGAAAATTTTTATTCCCATTCTGTAAGTTGTCTCTTCACTCTGTTTATTGTTTCTTTTGCTTTACAGAAGCTTTTTAATTTAATATAACCTTCTTTGTTGATTCTTGATGTCACTTCTTATGCATTTGGAATTCTGTCCATAAACTTCATGCTCATGTCTGTGTCTTCAAGAGTCTTTTTCTGATTTTTTTCTAACAGGAGATTAATCTTCTTCAGGTGGACAGACAGATTCAATCTTTTGCCTGTGGATAGCCAGTTTTCCTAGCACAATTTGCTAAAGAGGTTATGTTTCCTCTACCTCGTGTTTTTGGCCTATTTGTCAAAGTTCACATAGCTCAATGTGCCTGTCACTGTTTCGGCATCCTCTATTCTGATCAATTGGTCCACATGTCTTTTTGTGCCAGTACCATATTGTTTTTATCACTGAAGCTTTATAATATAACTTGAACTCTGGGTTTGTGTTGCCTTCTGCTTTGATCTTGTTTCCCAGGAATGCTTTTGCTCTTCTGGTTCCATGTGAATTTTAGGATTGTTTTCTTCATTTTTGTGATAAACGCTCTTGGTATTTTGCTTGGGATTGTGTTAAATATGTATATCCATTTTGGAAGTATGCCCATTTTGACAACAGTACTTGTGTCTCTTCAGGAACGGGGAGTTTCTTACCATTTTCTGGTATCCTTTTTGATCTTTTCCAGAGTACTGTAGTTTTCCTGATAGAATTCTTTCACTTCTTTGGTTAGGTTAATTCCTCAGTATTTAATTTTTCTTTATCTTATTGTGAATGGTATTGTTTTCCAAATTTCTATTTCAGTGAGTTTGTTATTAATATAGAGAAATGCTATTAATTTTTATGTGTTTATTTTGTTTTCTGCTACATTGTTGAATTTGGTCATTAATTCTAGCAGTCTTTTGGTGGAATGTTTTGGTGCGTCTATGTAAAGGATTACATCATCTGCAAAAAAGATAATGACTTCTCCCTTTTCTATACATATCCCTTTTATTCCTTTATCTTGCCTATTTTGTCTGGCTACTGTTTCAAGTAGTATATGAATAGGAGTGGGAAGAGTGAATATCCTTGTCTTGTTTTTAATTTTATAGGCAAATCTTTCAGCTTTTCCCTATTTAAT